ATAAAACACCCTTACTCTTTGCTTGATAATTAGATTTACACCATCTGAATAACAAATAGTGAAAATTGTGGGTTTGACCTCCCAAGAATCCCTTTGCACATCTCTCCTTCAGCCCAACTACGTGCTTTGGCAGCGTGTCTGGAAAGCAGGAGAGGATGCTGGGAGTTGGGCAGCAGTGCACACATGCTTTGCTCACCAGCACTGCCACGAACCTCTCGCCTTATCAGCTCAGCTTCCAGCTGCTGGTCCGAGGAGCCTGTCTGCTGGCCGGTAACATTCATATCTTTCTGTCCAACATATCCAACATAAGCAATATGATAACGGGAGGAGTAGACATACAGTAAGGTGGGCTCGTCTCTTACCTGTCTCGTTCTGCCCCTTTTTTCTGTTTGCCTTTAAAGAGTGACTGTACGTTCATGCAGGTTCAGCTTGTGTTTTGAAATAATCCAGTTAGTGTAAAACTTGGCATGGACATCAGTGATTATGATAGATATCAGTGCGCCTGCCAGAAGGAGCCAAAGCATGTCTGCAAGAGTGTGTGCAGAGAGAGTGTTTGGCTCCGGCTCCGGGCCACTAGAACAGAGGAGAGAGATGGAGGCAAGGTGATATCCTAAATCACAGTGCAGCAGTGACGCTGTTCTGCTCCAGAGGAAAGTGGCCACTCAGTTTCAATTGGCTCAACTTAAATTTAAATTGAGTAGGACAGTACAGAGATATTAATTTGTAAAAAAAAAAAAAAAAAGAAAAAAAATTTTTTTTTTTGGACATTTACATATGTTGGTTTGTAAATGTTTTATTGTATTAGGATTTTTTAGACATGAACCATGGTAATATGATGTTTTTGGACACGGTATGGTAATATCATTTTCATTTTACATTTACCATGGTAATACCATGTTTTTTTATACACTTACCATGGTAATATCATGAAGTACTTTGTTTGGACTACCATATATACACAAACTGTGTACTTTAGTATGTGAATATGGTACTCTTTTAATACCATGGTATACTGTACTACTGTTCAAAAGTTTGGGGTCTGTACGATCTTTTGTTTTTGCAATTAGTCTCTTACGCTCACCAAGACTTTTATCCGAAATACAGTAATATTGTGAAATTTTATTACAATTTAGAATAACTTTTCTATTTGAATATATTGTAAAATGTCATTTATTCCTCTGATCAATGCTGAATTTTCTGCATCATTACTTCAGTCTTCAGTGTCACATGATCCTACAGAAATCATTCTAATATGCTGATTTGCTGCTTGAAAAAAATTCTTATTATCATCAATGTTGAAAACAGTTGGGCTCTTGATATGTTTGGAAACTTTGATCTATCGGTCAGGATTCTTTGATGAATAAAAATTTTTAAAAAACAGCATTTACCTGGAATACAAATTTTTGTAACATTATAAAAGTCTTTCCTGTCACTTTATGATCAATTTAAAGGATTTTGCTAAAGTATTTGTTTCTTTAACAAACAAAAAAATCTTACTGACCCCAAACTTTAGAATGGCTATAATATTTTTATGGATAATATAGAAACCAAAACAAAATAATAATAATAAATAAATATATAATTCAACAATAATGCTTTTTTTCTGCTGGTAGTTTAGATTTGCACTTTCTCTGCCAATATTTTCAATTATAATTTTTTTAGATAGTTTAAATTGTATTAGTGATCAAAAAATGTATCGTATCTATTTCTTAGCAACAATTTATGTGCATCAGAAAACAATATAATTTCATATTATTTATTTTTAAGGAAAAAAAAAAAAAAAAAATTTTTTTTTTTGGACATTTACATATGTTGGTTTGTAAATGTTTTATTGTATTAGGACTTTTTAGACATGAACCATGGTAATATGATGTTTTTGGACACAGTATGGTAATGTCATTTTCATTTTACATTTACCATGGTAATACCATGTTTTTTTATACACTTACCATGGTAATATCATGAAGTACTTTGTTTGGACTACCATATATACACAAACTGTGTACTTTAGTATGTGAATATGGTACTCTTTTAATACCATGGTATACTGTACTACTGTTCAAAAGTTTGGGGTCTGTACGATCTTTTGTTTTTGCAATTAGTCTCTTACGCTCACCAAGACTTTTATCCGAAATACAGTAATATTGTGAAATTTTATTACAATTTAGAATAACTTTTCTATTTGAATATATTGTAAAATGTCATTTATTCCTCTGATCAATGCTGAATTTTCTGCATCATTACTTCAGTCTTCAGTGTCACATGATCCTACAGAAATCATTCTAATATGCTGATTTGCTGCTTGAAAAAAATTCTTATTATCATCAATGTTGAAAACAGTTGGGCTCTTGATATGTTTGGAAACTTTGATCTATCGGTCAGGATTCTTTGATGAATAAAAATTTTTAAAAAACAGCATTTACCTGGAATACAAATTTTTGTAACATTATAAAAGTCTTTCCTGTCACTTTATGATCAATTTAAAGGATTTTGCTAAAGTATTTGTTTCTTTAACAAACAAAAAAATCTTACTGACCCCAAACTTTAGAATGGCTATAATATTTTTATGGATAATATAGAAACCAAAAAAAAAAAAATAATAATAATAATAATAAATAAATATATATATATATATTTTTTTTTTCCCCTTCAGATTTTAAAATTAAACTATACAGGGTTTAACTGATTATGAAGCCAAAAACTTAACCTTTCAAAAAAAAATTGTATGCATATCTAGATTTATATCAAATGTCAGGATCAGTCTTCACTTGTGAATCTGTTTTATCATATCTTTAGTTCCCTGAGGCTCAGATGTTAAAGGTTCCCATCAGCATAATGTTCTTTCATAGCAACTAATCAAATCAGTGCTGAAATGTCATGTGAACAGACTCTGAAACTCTTCTTATGCTTTCTCTTCATATCCAGGTCTGGAAAGCCCCACCCATGCCCTGCGCGCAGACGCTGACCCCAGTGCACAGTCTGCATCGGCAACCTACATCACACTGGCGGAAGAACATTCATGTGACCGACATCTGGAAATAATACTACACCTTTGCGGTGAGAGCTGACTACATGTTAAATCATAAGCTGTTTGGCATTTTGGTAACACCTCCATAGCTATTTTCTAGTTATGCATGTCATATAGCACATATCTGCTTGAATGCATAAAAGTAAAAATCTCCAAAAATCTCTGTGTTCATATTACATTTAAGTAGCATATTTCAAAGCAGCAACAAACTCTGACAACATCAGTATAAAATCAGTTTGTCCAGCTCAAATCATGCTAGAATTTTTTTTTTTGCAGCTAACATTAATGCACACTTTATAGCAAAAAAAAACAGCTGATGCCTTTACAAATAAAACAATTGACTTTAAATTAGAAGGCGGCACTTACAGTTACCTACAGTTGCCAAATAGAGCATTGCAGTTTCCCATTCCCAAGTTTTTGAAAGATGTTCACCAAAACTGTATTTATTTGTTCAAAAATACAGTAAAAACAGTAACATGAAAAATAAAATCTAATTCAAAATATTAAAACTATAATAATATATCGGTGATACTAGAACCACCTGCAAGTCGCTGTCGTTGTTGCCTGCAGAGCCTCATAGTCCATTGGTCATCCTAGAAAGGGGCCGTCTCACCTTTAGTGAATACGAGCAGCAGATCCGTACTCGACGTGATTTCATTCGCTGTGCCCAAAAGGAGGTAGAGTCTGAGAAGATGGTAAGATTATTGCTTTTAGACACTTGCATTGCTGACTTCATCTTGATTGTCTTTTAAGAACATCATTTAGAGAATTTTTTAGTTTTTATGTCATGCGTGCATGTGCCTCCCCCCAGCTGGAGTTTGTGCGGAGACGCTATCACAAGGATCTGCTCTTGAACCCCGTCCTGATGCTTAACTTCTGCCCTGATCTGCTGTCAGAACCAACAGAACTGCAGCAGGCCAGCAGAGAGCTCATCTTCCTCATTGACAACAGCAACATAATGACGCAGCACAACATCAACAAGATCAAGGTTCTTGTGATCTCCTATATGAGCAGCTGCTCTTCTGCCACTAAATGTTGGCACATGCTCTTTTTTGTCTTCAGTACATTTTTTTTCCTCAAACTGTTAGCATTTACTATAAAGCACAGATCAGTGGTTCTTTAAAATCTTTGTTGCCATTAGAAGTTAGCAGCTCTTGTTTAAAGCAAATTAGTTTGAACCACCTACAAAACTAGAATCAAACAATATCGTCTGATAGGATTCCACTCTGAATGTGCAGTATTTGCCGGTTGAACATAACCAGAAATGTTCCTGTGCTTTCATATATTTGACAGGAGGGGATGTTGGTGGCCGTCAAAAGTCTGCCGACCCGCTCCATGCTGAACATCGCTGGCACCTGCTCAACAGTCAGGCCTCTTTTCAGCTCCAGCAAGCCCTGCACAGATGTGAGTGTTTCTCCAGTCACATTTTAGCTGTAGTTGCCAAAATCATTGCATAGTATTTATTTTAAGAGAAACTGAAACTCAGAAACGATGGAGATCACACAGGGTTGTGAGATGGTTGATGTTTACCTGTGAGTGACCTGCTGATAACAATCTCTGTCCAGGTCGCTACTACTGGTTGCCATGACACTGCAATATCAGGTTGAAGCAGGTCCAGGGTCTGGCAGGACAAATTGTTTTAAAACAGCGAGGGTCATATGGCACTGCCATACATTTTACAGCATGCAATGACCAAAAACAAACTTGTTTTGCTCCATTGTGCACTAGCGTTGTGAAAAGTACCGACTGGTACCGACATCTGTACTTTTGACAACAATATTGTGCACCACTGCTCTTTACATCTTCATCACAAAGAGCTTCTCTGGCGCGGCGCTCTTCGATCACTTTTGACTCAAAAATGTTACGTTTTTATTTTTTTTATTGTAACTTCATTGAAAATGGTACAAAACTTGGTAACTTTTTTGGCACTGGCTATATGAATACACAAAAATGATGGACATAATTGGAAAAGGCCAAATGGTCATTAAAAAGTAACAATTGGATTCCTCATGGTCAAAAACGACCGCCATTGGAAATAATGGGAAATATGAAAAAATATGAAAATACAGATTTTTTTTTTTTAAAGGTACAACTCACAAAAGCCACTTTACAGAAAAAAGCACTGATTTAAATTATGGATTTAAATTATAGGAACATTCTGGGTTAAATACAACTTAAACTTTACCATATTTGATTTTTCACAAATGAAAACAGAGGTTTATTATTGTCTCCAGTTGCTGTTATTTGAGATAGTTATATTTAACCTAGAATATGTCTTTCACTATTGGATGAATATTGCCAGTTATGAATGTGTGATATTTAGAGTTTCAGGAAGTCATGATATGTATATGAAAATGTGGGGTCAATTTATTGCCCGAACATATAATAAAACGAGAGATAATTGGTTAACTCTGGCCTGTAAGGCCTAAATGTTTTTTTCTTTAACTCAGCTGTGTATTCAATTTTGTATCCATGTAAGTTTTTATTTTAGATATATATTTATATATATCTAAAATAAAAACTTACATGAATACAAATACATATATACTGTATATATACATATTCATTAATTCGTTCGTTTGTTTGTTTAGGAGGGTAAATAGGTAAAACTAAAGCATGCTACTGTAAAAACCCTAAAAAAAAAAAAAAATAAAAAAAAGTCACTGTTTTTTAATTATATCAGGGCTAAAGGGACTGCCAATCTCTCCCTCTCTCATTTTTCAGAGTACAGTGACTCAGGCACTGGAGTACATCCAGAAGATACGCACAGACCAATGTGGTGCTAACCTGTGGGGGGTGCTGTCCTGGATTTATCGGCAGCCCGTCCACCGCAGCTACCCACGACAGCTCTTCCTCATCATGGATGGAACCAGCAGTAACATAGGCCGCGTGTTAGAACTGGTCAGGAGGAACGCCTGTAACGTCAGGTAAAAACTGTAATGTTAGATTAAATTAGTGTTGAAGACACCATGCCAGGTAAAACCTAATATAAAATAATCTGAACAGATAGTCTTTCACGACAATCATAACTTTTATGATATATTATTATAGTATTTATTAATATTTAGAATTAGCTTTTATTTTATATTTTCAGATTTCAAGTAAAAAAAATTCATAACAGTTTAATAGTATATTGAGAGTTTATTTTTTATATAATTTTAGCAACATATTAAGATTTTAGATCAGCAAACACTTTTAGAATTAGCTTTAAAAAATGGCTAAATATCCACTTAGGGGCTAAATAAACACCCCAAAAACCAGTTTTAAAACCAGGTCCCAAATATCAGTCAGACCAGCACCCAAAAACCAGCATAACACATTCACTCCAGCAAACTGCACTACAACTCTACAAACTAGCTAAACACATTTTACATCAGCAAACACCTTTTTTCTTTACTCTAACTTCATTGCATCTTTCTACACGGAATAACAAGTGCACAGATAACAAATCCATTTGCCACAATTTGAGATTTTGCAATATTATTACCCCAATTAACCAAACCTCAGCTAATTACATATAATAACACAGTGAAATAAAATACCTGGCAATAAAATTCAATTAGAACAGCATAATATATATGTATAAAAATATGTAAATAAAAAATAAAAGAGAAGGGGGGGGGGATGCTTAGCTTTACTGTCTATAGAGTCAGCAAGCACATATCGGCATCCAGCTTTAAAAACAAGCTAAACACCTTTCACTTCACAGCAAACACCCATTAAAAGAAGCGCAACACTTTTTACTCTAGCAAACACTTTTGTCACCGGCTAAACACTTAGAGCACTTCAACATCAATTTTGTCTTAGGCATTACCATGGAAACACCCCATGCCTCCATAAAGTATCTAAATGAAACTCAGCCAGTCAGATGGGAAACCGCAGTAATCCAAATTCCAATCATACTTGTATTTGCTGCGGTCTTTTATGATTTATCCACGCTGACATCTGTTCCACCTTAATTGTTTAGTATTTATTTAGTATTCCACCTTAAAAGGAATACTGCACATGACATTGTACAATTCCAGTAAACAAAAATAAAGCTGAGGTTGAGAAAAATTATTTCATCGTACTGTGCTTTACATTACACAGCACAAAGTGTCCTCTCCCATAATAAGCTGGCTTATATTTAGAGAGAAATGCTCTTCAGCAAACACACACACGCACATAGCTTTCACTGTACTGGAACACAGGCTCGTTATTGATACTCAGTCAAGACATTTAAAAGCCTTCGACTCAGACAGAGCAGACCTGAATTCCAAACAGCTTGTGTATGTGTGTGTGTGTCACCTGGCTTCTGTTTCTCTTCAGACATTTAATTAGTGAAATGGTCCAGATTATTGTCAGGGGAATACTAAACATATTCTCTTTTCTCTCACATTGGCAATCCATCGCATACATGTCTGGAGTCATGAGAAATGTTTCTTGAAATGTTCTTACAGACATGAAACCATACTTACGCCTATATAATCCACTGTCTTTATATCATGCAAATGTACTATATACAAAGACCCAGTGCATTTGCATCGAAATACCTGTGTTTTGACATATTCTTGGTGTTGTTCCAGATGTTTCGGTCTGGGACTTGGTCCTCAGGCCTGTCGGAGGCTACTGCAGGGCGTTGCCAAGGTTACGGGAGGCAGTACAGTGTTTCTCAGTGAGGAAGAAAGGCTTCAGCCAAAGGTGCGAGAGTTCATTATGCCCTCTAAAGGGACAGAGACAGAACCGCTATTATCAACTCGGTTTAAAACACAAAGCTGTTTAAAATGTGCTTTTGAATTAAAAAAAGATTTGTTTGTTATTGTTAAGCAAGTAGAATACATTATATTATCAGGCATGTTGTTAGCTAAGGGCAAATAAAGAAGGAAAAAGTTTTTCCCCTCTCTACATGACTAAAAAATAAAAAATGTAATCAAATAAATATATGAATATTGAAATTGTACTGTAAAATAACAAGCAAGTATTAAGTATTTAATAATAATAATAATTATTATTATTATTGTAAATAATATTTTTATTGTATTATTTATAATACAAAAATTAAACAAATCAATAAAGACTACTATTACTATTTAGTAATACCGTAATAATAATAAAGTAAAAATAAGTAAATATATATATATACTATTTTATAGTACTATTGTACAGCAAAAATGTATTCAGCAGTAGTGGTATTAATAATAATAATAATACTACTTTTACTTTTATTAACAACAGTAAAATTACAATACTAATATTTATGACTGTCTTAATTTCTTTTGTTTCAATAGTTAAATTGTAGAGCTTTTATTTTTGGGGGAAAATTTTTTTATTGGTCGCTGACACCAATATAAAACTTGCTAAAATATTTATTAAACTAACTTGCAAGATGTGCAAAACTTTGTGAATGATAAATGGCATTACATGGTAAAACTATGATACTTTGAAATATACCATGGTACTGAAATTCTTGGTACTATGGTATTTATATTTAACTCCAAGATACTTCTGAAAATAACATGGAACTACCATGGTACATATACTGCGGGACCATGTCCAAAAACATGGTAGTACCTTGTTATTTGTCTGTGGAAATCTGTTATCAGTAATCAATGTTTCGATTATTCTCTAGTTAATTAAATGTCTAAAGAAAGCTCTGGAACCTGTGTTGACGGATGTACGGATTGACTGGTATGTGCCAGACAATGTGGAGGCCCTTCTCTCACCCAATGAAATTCCTCCGCTCTACCCTGGCAACTGCCTGATTGGCTACTGCACTCTATATAACATGTCTGGAATCGGAGCCCAGAAAAGTGAGGTGAGAGACTAGTTTCTCTTGTTCAATATATGCTAAATGAAGAATTGTTAAAATAAATGAGATGCATACAGTTGTATAAAGTCTTAGTTTGTGTCTGTACACTTGCTCAAAAGCAGGTGAAGCCTCGTCCATACAGAAGCCATCCACATGGTTCAGCGGGGTCGGTTTTTGAGCTCTCTTCCTCCACTTCTGAGCTTCTTCAGCCTCTGGTTCCCCCGGATGAGCGAGAGAGAGATGCTGTAAGAGAGTGCGGGGTGGAGGGAGACTTTGAGGAAGCGTTGCGGGAAATTTCACGAGAAATCTCGTCGGAGTTCTCCTGTGCACATGCCACCGATAATGCCGTCAGCCTTGGTAAGACTATACAATCTATTTAAGATGTCAGTACATTGCATTGCGGGATACTACTTAATGTGATCAGGTTGTAAAAGTAGTAGTAGGTCTATTCTACGCATTAAAAATTTGTGATCAGCCTACATTTTGCATACTTTAAGGGATAGTCCACCTAAAAAAGAAACCTGTATGCATTTCTTCTTATCTGTGGAACATAAAAAAAGATATTTGAACAACGTTGATGAGTACTGCCTTGAATAAGCTATTTCACATAACAGATGTTTATATATACTCTACAAGACAAAATAATATCTGAATTTATATAAATGACCCCGTTCAAAAATTTTCAATCTTAATTGTAGTAGCCATTTCAAACATACATTACGTGATCTGCAGGTGGCGACACTGACTACAGCACCAGCGATGTGCGCCTGCGTATTCAACAGGATTCGTATGTTCAGGATCAGTACGTGTTGACACGCTGTTCTCTGAGCAGTGAAAAGGCCTTCTCATCTGATTCTCCCCAAGCGGAGAGCACTGTGCTGGGCATGGGTTCTCTGCCACATGGCTTGGAGATAATGGAGCCCACACAGGGTAGAGGCCTCTCGCGCTGGGAATCTCCGTGGGCTCAGAATGCCACCTCTACAGGAGACACCGATTCTGCATCAGGGAAGGTGACAGCAGCCGATGACATTTATATTTAAGAATTCCCTACACATAAAGAAAGTTTAACATCATTTAACATGTATAGTACCAGTAATCTAAAATAGCCTGCAAAGGAAAATTACTTTACAAATAAAATGGAAAAAGGCAGATTTAAAGCAGAATTAGTCATGCATTAAAAGCAGGTCCTTCAAGTAACAACTGCAAATTGTTATTGTGCATTTTTGCAGTGTATACTGGACAAAAAGTATTCTGACTATTTAGGATTTAATATTTAAACATTTTTCAAATTACTGTTGCTGTTAACTTGAAAATTCACGAGTACTGACTAAGTATTCCTGAAATGCACATCGCAAAGTTTTTTTGAGAAAAAAAAACATGTAGACCGGTTCTCTTGGAACATTACTTCCAAAAAAAAAAAAAAAATCTTTGCTGATAAGGTACATAAATTCTATCAGGTGGGTCCACATTTTTGACATTTATGCATTTAGCAGATGCTTTTATCCTAAATGACTTGCAATAGTGGAAAAGTTTCAAATTTCATATTTAATATTTTGTAAAGGTTCCAAATTTTGTAAACCACTTTTACTAAACATGAAATTCAATTAAATCAATAAATTAGGATGCTAATATTTACAATTTAAAGTTAACACTTTACAATAAGGTCTCATTTGTTAATATTAGTTAACTTGAACTAACAATGAACAATACTTCTACATAATTAAGAATTTAAGAATTTGTTAACATTAACAATGAACAATTGTATTGTTTGTATTAACAAGCATTAACAAATATAAATAATGCTATAAAAAATAAACAAATGCTGTAAAAAAATAATAATAATATTGCTCATTGCTAGTTCATGTCATGAATTAACTAATGTTAACAAATAAGACCTTTTCTTACTAAATGTTAAGTTCAACATATAGTGATATATTTAAGAATTTGTTAACATTAACAATGAACAATTGTATTGTTTGTATTAACAAGCATTAACAAATATAAATAATGCTATAAAAAATAAACAAATGCTGTAAAAAAAAATTATAATATTGCTCATTGCTAGTTCATGTCATGAATTAACTAATGTTAACAAATAAGACCTTTTTATAAAGTGTTACCAATTTAAAGGAATATTTCACCCCAAAATTTAAATTAGCAGAAAACGTACTCACCCTCAGGCCATCCAAGATGTATATGAATTTGTTCCTTCATTGGAACAGATTTACATTTACATTTAGTCATTTAGCAGACGCTTTTATCCAAAGCGACTTACAAATGAGGACAATAAAAGCAGTCAAAACTAACAAAAGAGCAACAATATATAAGTGCAAATGACAAGTCTCGGTTAGCCTAACGCAGTACACGTAGCAAGGTGTATATATACTGGTACATCTCAAAAAATCAGAACATCATGAAAAAGGTCAACATCCCCCGTCACTCACCTCAGAATGTAAAACCCACATACCACACAGATTCATCACACATAGAGTGAAATACCCCAAGTCCCTACTTCCCGAAATCCCGATGATTATGGCCTACAGACAATGAAAACCCAAAATTCAATGTCCCAGAAAATCAGAACATTGTGAAGAAGTTCAATATTGGAAAGTCATGGTGTCACACCCTAATCAGCTAATTACCTCAAAACACCTGCAAAGGTTTCCTGAGCCTTTAAATGGTCTCTCAGTCTGGGTCAGTAGGCTACACAATTATGGGGAAGACTGCTGACTTGACAGATGTCCAGAAGACAGTCATTGACACCCTCCACAAGGTGGGTAAGCCACAAAAGTGAATTGCTAAAGAAGCTGGTTGTTCAGAGTGCTGTATCCAATCATATTCATAGAAAGTTGAGTGGAAGGAAAAAGTGTGGTAGGAAAAGGTGCACCAGCAAAAGGGATAACCGCAGCCTTGAGAGGATTGTCAGGCAAAATCCATTCAAGAATTTGGGGGAGCTTCACAAGGAGTGGACTGAGGCTGGCGTCAGCGCATCAAGAGCCACTACGCACAGACGAATCCTAGACATGGGCTACAAATGTCGCATTCCTCGTGTCAAGCCACTCCTGAACTAGAGACAACGTCAGAATCGTCTTACCTGGGCTGTGGAGAAAAAGAACTGGACTGTTGCTCAGTGGTCCAAAGTCCTCTTTTCACCTTCAGGCCATCCAAGATGTATATGAATTTGTTTCTTCATTGGAACAGATTTAGAGAAATTTAGCATTACATCTCTTGCTCACCAATGGATCCTCTGCAGTGAATGGGTGCCGTCAGAATGAGAGTTCAAACAACTGATAAAAACATCACAATAATCCACAAGTAATCCACACAACTTCAGTCCATCAATTAACATATCTGAAGTAAAAAGCTGTGTGTTTGTAATAAACAAATCCATCATTAAGATGTTTTTAACTTCAAACCAATGCTTGTGGCTAAAATATGAGTCCTCTCTCCATAATATTGCTTTCTCCAAGTTGCTAAATTTCTCCAAATCTCTTCCGATAAAGAAACAAACTCATCTGCATCTTGGATGTCCTAAGGATGAGTAAATCTCCTGCAAATTTCCATTTTTGAGTGAACAATTCCTTTAAATAAGTAAAAGCTAAACTGACAGAACAGTCTTACCATAAAATAGAAAAAAAAATCAAAACTATAATCCTAACTGGTAGTCTATGTTTGTTTCTGTAGGCTGGCAAGCTCTTAGATGAATCTTGTCACAGGCAGAAGGCACTAGCTCGCTCTGCTTTGGCTGGCCGAAGTTTCTCATCTCCACAGGGTGACCTGGACATGCACCGGCTGAGGAGGGCGCTAGAGAAGGTCTCATTTGAGCAGGCTGTAGGGAGCCGACTGGAGGAGAGTGACACAGACACCCACAGCACTTCACGGGGAGGTGTATCCCGTCTGACATGGAGCCTGACAGACTCCAGTGAGGGAAAACAATCTTATAGTTTATGCATCAACATAAATACACACAGATGCATATTAAACTCGGTCCAAATATTAAATCATCCTTGTCTTTTTACCTACCACTCTCTATCCAGATGGTCTTCTGTTCGCTGCTTCCCCACTAGACTGGGACAACTTCACCGATCCAGAATGCCTATTTTCAGCCGCTCCCCCAGGCGAGTTCCAGGCTTCAGGGGACCAGTGTCGATCAGTCATCCATGGCATGCTGGGAGGAAGGGCCGTATCCTGGGAGGTCCGTGTGGATCTGTCTATTCTGTGGGACACGGAGAACTCAGCAACCCTGCAAACCAGCACTGAGTCCTGGGATGAGATTATCCACCAGCTGACCGCACGATCTGTCATCAGAGACTTTGAAAACATGGCGGAGAAAGAAACAGATATTGAAGTTGAAAGAGGTCTGATAGGAATAACAGTTAAAAACAAAATATTTGAATTTGAATTCAAGTTATAAACAGGCTGCTCCATCCATGTTTTTTTCTCCTGTTGTTTGGGTGTGTAGGTCCGTCCAAGCGGTACAGAATGAAAGCGATCCAGACCAGCAAAAGTTGTGGAATCGTCTGCATGTATACAAGCTTCACCACCACAGACACCAATGCCAGAAATCAACCTCAGAGTACTCGCATACGACACACAGGTACACACATATACTGTAGCACAGACAATCCACACAGTCTCACAAAAAGTGAGACAAAACATGCTAAACTACATGGGGGGAATGAAATTCTCCTGTGTGTGTGTGTGTTAGGTGTGCGGTTTAGGACAGGACACAGTTCTCACTCTGGCAGCAGAAGACAGAAGTTGTGCTCTGTGGGATTCGGACGCCGTCCCTCCAGCAGAGCCAGTGAAGAAACAGAAGATACACACACCTCGACAGGTACCTTAAAAGTTATATATGCACACCCACATATAGTACATTTTAAGTAACATACACTACCATTCAGAAGTTTGGGGTCATAAATATATATATATTTTTTAAACAAATGAATACTTATGTTCAGCAAGGATTAATTAAATTGACCAAAAGTGACAGTGTAGACATTTATAATGTTACAAAACATTTCTATTTCAAATAAATGCCATTCTTTTGAACTTTCTATTCATCAAAGAATCTTTTAAAAATGTAGCACGGTTTCCACAAAAATATGAATCAGTATGACTGTTTTCAACTTTGACGATAATAAATATTTCAGAATATTAGAATGATTTCTGAAGGATCATGTGACACTGAAGACTGGAGTAATGATGCAGAAAATACTTTGCCATGACAGGACTAAATTACGCTTAAAAATATATTTCTATATTAATATAGAAAAGTTATTTTTAATATTAATATTTCATATGACTACTTTTTTTTACTGTATTTTTGATCAAATAAATGCAGTCTTGGTGAGCATAAGAGACTTGTGAACGGAAGTCTATCTGTAATCACAAATTGGGCCTAAATTAGGATAAATACAGCTCAAAATAAACCAGTGTTTACAAGATTATATAATTTATTTGCCTCAGACAAAGCTCTTGAATACCTTTCAAAGGTTTAATGTCATGAATCTCCAGATTTTCAGCTCAAAAGTGCTCTTTGTAGCAGCCCTGTAGCCCTGTAAACATGACTGTGTTGCCCATCACACTGATAAAACCCCTTGCATCCTTACTGGCCAGATCAGTCAATCAGATTGGAACTCACAATTTCAGCCAACTCGACATTTTTTTCCCGCAATATGCAGTAAACAGTCCATAAACAGTCTGAGGCTCAACAAGCACTTCCAACAAGCAACTCAAATACAGATACCTGAAAAGGAAACCCTCTTAAAATACTGATTCAAGGACATCCATGAAAACTATGAGGCTGTAAAACTGCATTCTGTTCAGCGCAACTCTGAATTTCTGTTCTGTTTTCTTGGACCCAGACAGAGATGACACACCTACATCCCCTTGTAGCATGACATCCTGGGACAGCAGTAAGTATTGGAGACAGAAAGAATGCATTAAGCTGCGGTCACATTTCGGTGAAATTTCTCAAACAGAAAGGTCGAGTCAATAGTGTAGCATTGCATGAAGCATGGAGTCACTTTTAAACCAAGCAGCTTTCTTTTGGTCAGTGCAAATTTGCATGACCAACTTAAACACCAGCAAAATCTTCATGGGGAATGTTTTTGCATTTATATCAATAGTAAGTGTGACCGCACCTTTAGGATTGTTTATACCTTATTAAATGAGTGGTGAATTATGGGTGTAATAATGAAGTTGTCTTTCAGGCACAGGAGGGAGCATCAGTCCATCAGCGGCGTCTTCTCGCTCTCAGCGCCCTGTGGAGAGTTTCTTCGGGTCCAAGTCAGCATTGACCTGCAGAAGTATCACACTTTGTAATGATTTATACTTTATTGTACGATCACACTGAATTTCTGTGTTCTCCAGGTTCAATCTGGGCAGACTAAAGGGCAATAATGGAAAACAAGCTCCTCTCAAACCTCACTGTCTTTCTGCAGAGACTGACAGACACCTAGAGACGGACACGCCTAACTACTTGCCATTGGTTGGTGTAATTACATATTGATTTACAAAATTAATCACAGCGTAAAGTCAGTGTTACCTACTTCAGTTTTCGTGTCCCCACAGGTCCGCCTACAGTTGGCATCAGGTGCGTTTCTTCTGTCTGAATCGTACTCCGAGTGCATCCAGATCCCTCTGGACCGCCTGAAAAGAGCATCCCCATACCTGAGCCACCGCAGCAGTCTGAGCCCCCCTTTCCGTTGTACCTCACCACCTGCCACATCAGCGAGACATATGCAAGACTCATGGTCCAACACCGTGGAGGAAGGCTCTCAGAAATTGGTAGGTGCAATCCCGCAGACTGACAGTGGGCGGGGCTCCGAGACTGACACATGTGAAGGTCCTCCGCTGGATCCTGCAGAACCTCACGGAGAGGAACTGGCGCAGATGAACGTAGGGAGCTCAAGCTGGGCCACGGCAGTGGCTCTAGCCTGGTTGGAGCACCGTTGCGCTGGGTTTTTTGTGGAGTGGGAACTGGTGGCTGCCAAGGCAGATTTCTGGCTCAAGTGCCAGTCACTGCCAGAGGGTGTTACCCTGGCAGGGTTGAGGGCAGCGGCCAGGCAGCTTTTCCTGCTGTTGCGTCACTGGGATGAAAACATCAAACTGAACGTGCTCTGCTACAACCCCAATAACATGTGAGAAACTGCCAACAGGATTTTTGGTCTTTAATTGACCCTGTTGGCTACACTCACAATTCAACTTTATAGCAGAATAGAATTAATCTAAGATGTCCTTTAAAAAGGACTGGAGATAAAGGATTCTGAGTTGTGTTCAAGTTTTTCTCATGCCCAGACCATAATACTGTACAAGCTTTGCCTTAATCTTTGGGCCTCAGTCTAAGTAGAATGCAGTTCACTGCAGATCTGACAACACTTTATCTTAGCAATAGCAAAATGAAAACAATCACCAACATTTATAGCAGGCCAAAATTACACATTCTTGCCTTAACTTAAGCTACCGTTCAAAGGTTTGGGGTCAGCAAGAGTTTTTAAAAAAATTATTATTATTATTATTCAGCAAGGACACATTCAATTAGAATGAGCATTTTAGAATGATTTCTGAAGGATCATGTGACACTGAAGACTGGAGTAATGATGCTGAAAATTCAGCTTTGTAATCACAGGAATAAATTATTTTAAATATATTAAAATAGAAAACATTTATTTTAAATTATAATAATATTTCACAATAATGTATTTAAGATCAAATAAATGCAGCCTTGGTGAGCATAAATGACTTCTTTTAAAAACATTTTAAGAATCTTACTGATCTTTTGAACGGTAGTGTACAACAGCTGCTTGAATTTGATTAATCTATTTCTTGCTTTAGTCAAGTTTTAGACTAAACTGCACTATATTTCAAACCACCTTTTTTTTTTTGCACTGACTGATTCTGTCATTATTGCTCAGTTTAAGTGCTGTTAACCATATAAACAGTCTGAATAACATTGGTACATTTTATTTTTGTAGGATCATTTGTGTTTTGTTTTTTGACAGCAACTGAATTGTGTGTTTGGCAGTGACTGCTTGCTTTTGGCCTCCTTGAGAGATTTAGGATTTTTGGAGTTTGCTTAAAAGCAAGAGTTTTCAAGTAACACCACAAAAACAATCTGCAAAACTTGAGGCTATATTTTTCATGTTCGATCATAAGAAGAATCATAACTATGGTAACTATAATTGTTATGAAATTATGACTTTTTATTTTCAATCACTTACAAATCTATACAATAAAATGCTCTGAATGATTCCAAATTATGCTTCCTCAGGTTTTAAGATACTGTTGTTTCAAACAGTAAGGGCTTTAATCGTTCACTGTACCTTCAACCTGGTTTTGCCCAGACATTCGTAGCTGTGAGGCTGTCAAAAGCCTTGGAAATGGAATAAAATCATGAACAACAATTGTATTATGATTATCGACTACACCTTGGATTAAGCAAATCCATGTCATGCAAAAAGAAAAATTAAAAAAATCCAACAGCAAGCAGATCATAAGATTAATAAGAACAATCATTTATTCTTTATCACAGAAAAATAAAAATCACACTCTAAATATGAAGCATTTCAGCATTGAATCTTTCGCTCTTCATGCTAGAAAAGGAAAAAAGAAAATGTAGAGAACAAAAAAAAAAGAGACCAAAGATAGAAAACAAACACAGGAACTACTAGAGGTTCATGGTTGCCTTTGCCTTAAACTAAAATGAAATGGAAAAGCAGATCTATGCTGTTCCTTTGTGCCCTATGAATGTAACTATATGATCTTGTTGAGCATATAGACAATTGTGCATGTCTGAAAAAAAAATCAACTATTAAAGGGATAGTTCACCCAAAAATGAAAATTCAGTAATCATTTACTCACCATAATGTTGTTCCGAACCTGTATGTGTTTTCCCCCCATACAATGGTACATACAAGTTCTTTAAAATACCTTCATGTTCCACAGAAGTAAGTCATACAGGTTTGGAACGACATGAGGGTGAGTAAATGATGACACAATTTTCATTTTTGACTACCCATTTAAACGAAAACAAACCCCTGAATAATTATGAATGAGCTTAATGTTGAAATGCAGAGATATTCTGTTATATATAACATCTTGTTCAAATAAACTGTCCTGAATGAGTCCATTGGCCAACAAGAAGAGATCCTCAAGGTCTCAAAGGTCAACTGTGTTGATAAGCTGCATAGAAATTTGTAACTTTTATAAATGTCCTTCCAATACAGATCCATTCACATTTCACACTCCGACATCCCAGACTGAGCATCACATTAGTCCTTAAGAAACCTGAGAAGCATTGTAAACTCTCTGAAACCCCCAAATAGTAACATCACACTACCTCCATTAACAAAACCCCCCGATACCGTTTCAGCATCAGACTCAGGGCACAGGTCCCTGGCCGCCCCTATGTGTCCCTCTGGTACAGGAGCTTGCAGACAGGAGCTGGAGGACAGGGATCATCCCACACAGCGAGTGCCCTGGGCAGGCCAGGGCTCAGTGGCGCTTAGCCTTGTTCTCTGACTTCTGAGACAGAAGAGCTGGAGTCGGGTTGAGCCACAAACAGAGCAAGATGATGAGATGGCAGACGTGCAGTGATAGAGAGCTGTAGTTAGTGGACGGATACGTGTTCCAGGACAGTTCTATCAGACCCAGAATCAACACCCTAAAAGAGAGCGAATGATACACGGATGATTTGGGATGGGGGGGGGGGGGGGGGGGGGTGCTCTATGGTATTGAGCTTATATATATGTATGTATATATATACATTGTACTAATCAACTACGATTTTGTTAACTAGTTAATGCATTAGATATCATGATCGAACAATGAAAACTACTGTATAAAAAGTGTTCATTTCTACATATACTAGTGCATTTTTACATTCTAAGTTGTATAAATTAACATTCATTTAATGTAATGAACAAAGATGAATTAACAATTAAAGGGGTCATCCGATGCCCATTTTCCACAAGTTGATATGATTCTTTAGGGTCTTAATGAAAAGTCTGTAACATAGTTTGGTTGAAATTTCTCAATGGTAGTGTAAAAAACACCTTTTTTTTTTTTACCCTGTCAAAAACAGCTCTTTTCAGAGCAAGCCGTTTTGTAGCATTTTCCTTTAAATGTTAATAAGCACTGCTGAACTCGCCCCTCTCTTCCGAGCCGCTCTCTGAGGGACTGTTTACTTTAGCCGCAATCATCATGAAACTTGCTAATTAGCACATTATTAGGAAAGGCGATTTTCAAAGATTCATTAAAAAAACCTTATACTCACTTCTTCTGCAGGTGAAGCTGGATCACGAATGATTCGCTCGAACATAAATGCATTTATGTGCATTATGCGCATTTCCTTCAGAAAAAAACGTAATCCACTGCATCTTCAGCGGCTCGGATGTCGGGAGTAAATGACTACTGCTATGTTCATTATTACATCCAACAACAGAAGACCTCAATCGCTTAGGAGTCATTCTTGTCTACATCTGCTCCAGCGGTGAAACAATGGCGGACTGATGACAGCTCACTCAGGGCGGGTCTAAGGTAAGACACCAGTCCAGTCTGTGCTGAAACGCTACTGTCAATCAAACTATCGTGGGAGGGGCATCTGAGATCGGCTCGATTTGAGAAAGGGGTAAAGATTTTAGCAGATTAAAAAAAAACACTGGGTGGATTTTTATCATTATAGGGTGGTTGTGTACACACACTGCCAACACACATTTCAGTTCGAACAACTTGTAAAAGTGCATGTAGCATCGGATGACCCCTTTAATAATAGTGTGTTTATAAATAAAAATGAACCTAGATTAATAAATGCTGTAAAAAAAAAATTGTATTCATGATTCCTAATCAGGACTTAATTCTAAGAATTTTTCTACTGGCTCAGTTAAGCCAGTGGTTCATATTTTTTTACTTTCAATGCCACAATTTTCATCGGTCCCGGGCACAAAAAATCTAATAAAAAAATATACATTAAAACATTTTTTATTAAGCCTTAATCTAATTCTTCTTGCAAACAAAAGTTTTAAAATCACTTGAATGTTTAAATGATTCAATTAACTTCAGTGATAATGCACATTTCCGTCAACTGTCCTAAGCCTCTTTCGCGCTTACTCAAGGCCATCAGGCAGTCCTTATTATTAAGCACTGCCTAATGTATTAACTAATGTTTCTACCACATCACATGGTATCTGTGCCCACAGTGAAATCTAATTTTTCCAAAATTCTGCTCCATATAGCTATTTATTATTAATCAACAAATATGCTCTGGTTGTTGTGATACTGTCACTTTGCACAACAAATGAAACTAACTCAAATGTACAAACACACACACGAAATTTATGAGGAGAAAAAAAAACAGTTAATCCACGTGTCTGTGTTTTACCTGAGCAGATGGGCAAGTTTCTTGACTCCTCCACTCCACAACAGATACGGCAGCGTATGAAAGTACCAGACATAAAACTGATAATGCAGAGATCTACTGAAGCACATGCCAATGAAATTAGAAGTGAAAAGAACCAGAACTGTCTGTATGATCTGGGTTAAGGAACCATTCTCATCATATCACCTAGGACTAATAGTGCAAAGTTCAGGAATGCCTGGTTTCTTTAAAATGATCTGAATCCAATCCATCATATATTTGATTTAAACAACCATAAAAAGGATATGATCAGCATTGAGCTTGTGTACAGTCTCTTTTCTCTCAGACGGATCTGTTAGAACAGACCAAATACTGTTCCCAGACCTGTAATAAACACTATTTTTTAAATGTCAGTAGAACAAAAAGACCTGTAGGATATTTAGTTTACCAAGAAGCCTTAGGACTTGTAATAATAATATTTTGTTCAACAAATGAAGCTGCAAGTCCTATTAAAAGCCCTTTAAATGGTTTTTGACTCAACCATGTAAAATACTGCCACTAATCCAACTAAGTTTAATTGTAGGATTTGATTTTTGTACCTCTTCCATCTCTTCAGCGCAAACAGAAGTAACGTGGTAATGTGAGCCAGAAGCAGAACCAGGTGGAAGTATCGACTCAAGAACACATCCTCAGGAAGAAAACGCCAGTTCACCGTCCACTTAAAAAGAAACTGCCTGCCCAGGTCAAAGGCCTGGCTAACATACCCAACAGGGTTCACCAAGAGGAACGGCAGTCCCAATACCAGCTGAAAGAGAGAAAAACAGAGTTGTACATGAAAAGCTGGTGTAAAACATCAAAAAGACAGTTGAATCACTTAATAAATATGTGAATGAGTCTAATTATGTGCGTCTAACCTGAATGACAGCACAGAGAGTGAGTTTAGGTAAAGTTTTCCATAGACCGAACTCACACAGCAGAAGGAAAAGGAGACCAGGAGCGAAGAGCAGAACATTCATCTTCACAGACACAGCTAAACTGTCCACAGCACAGACAAATATATACTTTAAATGCACACACACACTGCTGAAATGACCATTCATTTATCAAACGATAATTATTCTTATGTTATAAAGTGAGGAAGAAATCAGGCATCAAAATACTGTCAAAAAAAGTTATATGGCTGATAGTAAATTGTTTAATTCAAATACTCAGTTTCTCTTACCATTCATCTATCACTCCATGTAGAATGAAGATGTTGTTTCTACTTGCCTGTAGAGAGCACATCCTAGAGTCCAGCGGCCATCCAGGAAGAGATTGATGGCTCCGAATAACAGCATCATGGCCACCGGATCATTAAAGAGACGCAAGACGAAAATGGAGTGAATTCGATACGAAGCACAGCAGATGAAGAAGAACACATATGGAGGAACCTAGAGAAGAATAAACAGACAAGCACTATTAATAAGACACTTTCAGAATCATGAAAAATGTTGTTTAGCTGAAGTTGGATATACAGGTCATAGAATTAATAATACATGTTGTAGAAATACTGTACACTGTTTTACATAAATTATACACCAGCAATCAAAAGTTTGGGGTTGGTAAGATTTTTGAAAGAAGTCTCTTATGCTCACCAAGCAAAAGCAGATCAAACATACAGTAAAAACAGAAATATTATGAACTAATTTTACTATTTAAATAATATATTTTTATTTGAATCTATGTAATGTAATGTAATTTATTTCTGCAACACAAAGCTGAATTTATTACTCCAGTATTCAGTGTCACGTGATCCTTCAGAAATCATTTTATTACATGTGATATGGTGCTCAAAAAAATTTTTTTTTAATGTTGAAAACAGTTGGGCTGCTTAATATATGACCGTAATATATAACAGTGATAAATTTTTCGTGATACTTTGATGAATAGAAAGTTCATATAAATAAATATATATATATATACATATATATATATATATATATATATATATGTATTTTTTTTTTTTTAAACAAGTCAATGCATCCAATGTTCCTCTCCTTTCTTACAGACCCAAAACTTTTGAACAGTGGTTTGTAAAAAGATCCTGGCTATTCTTGGGTGTAAAAAAAAAACTGACTGAACAGAATGTACAGTATGTATAATGGATTTGCATTATATGGGGTCATTACCTTTTTGGTGCGATGGTAAATGCGGAACACAAGCAGGAGGGTGATGAGGTAGAACACAGCAAACACGTACTGACTCAAACGAATATTCTGTCCATGATCAGTAAGATAATACAGCCCAGTGAATATATACACAAAACCAGCTGGATACCTGAAACACACATACAGTGTATATATAATCCAGTAAATGATTAGTGGCCAGATTTTCATTTAATATGCCATTCTCAGAGGTATACAGGAAGAGGTATTCCATCTAAAAGCTGGAATACACTACACACATTTTCTATGTTGACACTTACACCAGCGGCCCCGTGTCGCCCTTCAGCTGTGTGTAGTCATATGTGCCATTAATAACTCCCTCCACCTCATCCATATACGCCTTCCAGTCGATCTCTGTATCTACAAACACAACACTTACATCATTAGACAGAGGAATCACGATGGCACTTATAACTGGCATCTCTCTCCATACTGCTATTCAGTGTCTTGTTGTCATTTTGGTTATATGGTGCACGTGACTGACAGTGACGTGAGCATTGAGTGTGTGCGCGTGTTCCTTTTAAGGAGTCCCGACGGAGCAAATACACAACTTAACCAGACTACCATTTTGGAAGGCAAAGTTGAGTTGGACATTTGAGTCTATATGAAATGAATGAATGAATTAACAGCATGCACTGCTATCCTATTTGAACATCAAGCAGTATGGAGTTTCTTAAGTTTCTTATGGAGTTACAAGTAACGAGAGTTACGTAATCAGATTACTTTTTTCAAGTAAGTAGTAAAGTAACTCATTACTTTTTCATTTACAAGTCATCCAAGGATCATGTCAGTGATTGATTTCTACTGCACTTACATGCAACTCTTTGGATCACCCATATGTTAATCCCAATTTCCAGGAACCAAAGGACGGCCGTGACCAAGAACGTGTACTCTGCTTTGAACAACACCATGTGTTTGTCCTGCCATGTGGAGGAAAGTGTTTTCGGAATTCTTGATGGTAGAGTCGAGGATTTCTTCTTTCCTCCTGCCATGTTTGCCGCCTTCGGTGAAGTGTATTCGGAAACACCGAGTTCCAAATTAAAAGTCCGTAGAGTGGAAAAAATGGCATTGAAAAAAAAACCATCCCAATTGTGAATATATACAGTATGTTGTTAGTAAGTATTTATTTATATATTTGTTTGTTTCTTTACTTATATATTTATTTCAATTTATTTATAAATTCTGTTTGTTTAAAAGGTTTTAGCGGCATTTTTAGGCGATTTTTAAATTAAACTGCTAAACAAATATATATATATATATAAAGTTTACGTTAAACTGTGTTTGGCTGCATAACGTTTTGTATCACAAACGTTTTAGCGGCATTTTTAGGCGATTTTTAAATTAAACTGCTAAACAAATATATATATAAAGTTTACGTTAAACTGTGTTTGGCTGCATAACGTTTTGTATCACAAAGGGCCAGTTGCATAAAAGTCTTACAAGTTTTTTTTTGGTTACATAAAAATGTAGATTGGTTTAAGTTGAATCCAAAAAACGACTAATTACTCATTGGCTAACTGCTAGCTGGTCAGACAAGTTAACTGTCTTATGCAACGGCCCCAAATTCAAAGTCAGGCAAAATTTATAGCTACCTATAAGAGGTCCTCGCGCATTGACGTGCCACGTGACCTAAACAACATCGCAGTTTTCAGGAGGATCGTGAGTGTAAAAGGTTATTTCTGCTTCTTATTCACGCTATATTAATTTCTGTTGTTGAGCACACATGTGTAACCGTGGTCGAAGTATTAGGCTAAAGTCTTTAAAGGTAATTTATGGGTCACATGTTATTTTGACAGCCCACAGATGATTTACCTTGTTTGGTGAACTATGGTTATTGTTATGTATATTTCATTGCGGTGGTGTTGGTAGTGTTATGTCGGTTTCCCTTAAATCGACAATCAAAACACCCCAAAGTGCAATAGATTTAAATGATCGAAATGTTCAATTCCAGTGTAAACAAAGACTTGCAAGGCTTTGACATCTCTCTCTGTCTTTAATTTTTGCTTCTATCTATCTGTAATCAGCTAGAAAATCACCTTTAAACTATATGACCTTCAAGCTTTTCAAACTTTTTCAAACCAGGCTCTCAAGCCAACATCTAAGTTTGTCTATTTGACACATCTAGTTGTTAATGGCACAAACTTTAATGTCAACTGAACCCCTAAATGACATCAGTTATTTAAATTGGACGTTTTTTGAACTATTTAAAGAAACTAACCTGTGTTAATGTAATTAAAAGCATCTGCTAAATGAACGACAGGAGTAAAAATGAAGGAAAATCAATGCTGAATCAAATCACCATAGGTTCTCTTGATTCATCTTGAATCTTGCACCTGTTCATTATGATTTCATTCTGTGTTCAGTAGTCTAGAGAAGAGGAAGAGGAAGAGGGTGAGGTGGAAGATGGAGGATTTCCCCATCCGGACACTGGAGATGGTGTGTTTGGGTTCAAGTGTGGCTCTCTCTGGTCTGTTTTATTACATCTACAGGAAGAAATGCAAAACTGTGGACAAGCTTAATGTGAGTAGCATTCCAAAAATGACCATTTAGACAGTATATATGCATGTATATAAATATAACTTGGATGTATGGAATTAGTGCCTGGAATTTGTTCTGGATTTAAAGTGTCCGCTACACTTGTAGCAGTGAAAGAGTAGGAGAATTTTCTGAAAAGAAACCAATTTGTTTTTGATGTTAGGAAGCTCCAGTTTTGCCACTGGATGAAAAGTTAGCAGATCTTTTGAATGCCACGCCAGGGAAATGTCTGCAGTATGTGGTCGTCGAGGGTAACATTCACTTTCCATTATACAGTGTCTCAGCTGATCTTTAGAATATAACTCAATCTCTCCTTCACTTTCAACTGACTTGTTCCCACTTTCTGTCTCTGTAGGTACAGTGCAGTCCATTGGGGAACCGTTAAGGAGTCAGTTTCAGGAAGGCAGTGTTGGTGTCATCCAGAAACTGGTCCTCCGAGAACACAAACTTGTGTGGAACAGTTTAGCACGCACTTGGTTAGTCCTGGTCTTCGCTAATATTAATATACATTATCATTCAAACATTTGGTGACAGTAAGATTTTATCTTTTTTAGAAAGAAATTAATACTTTTATTCAGCAAGCATGCATTAAACTAATCAAAAGTGGCAGTAAAGACGTTTATAATGTTACAAAACATTTCTATTTCAAATAAATGCTGCTCTTTTGAACTTTCTATTCGTCAAAGAATCCTGAAAAAAGTGTCACTGTTTGTACAAAAATATTAATTAGCACAACTGTTGTCAACATTAATAAGAAACGTTTCTTGATCATTAAATCTGCAGATTAGAATGATTTCTAAAGGATCATGTGACACTGAAGACTGGAGTAATGAATGCTGAAAATGTAGCTTTGCATCACAGGAATAAATTACACTTTAAAATACATTAACATAGAAAGCAGTTATTTTAGATTGTAATAATATTTCACAATATTTCTGTTTTACTGTATTTTGGATCAAATAAATGGAGCCTTGGTGAGCATAATTCACTTTTTTTTTTTTAAACATAAAAAATATATAACACTCCAAACGGGATTGTATATATGTCAGTCTAACATGGCATTTCTAAACCACACGATTCTCTTTCACATCTTTCAGGACAGATCAAAGAATCCTGAAAAAAGTGTCACTGTTTGTACAAAAATATTAATTAGCACAACTGTTGTCAACATTAATAAGAAACGTTTCTTGATCATTAAATCTGCAGATTAGAATGATTTCTAAAGGATCATGTGACACTGAAGACTGGAGTAATGAATGCTGAAAATGTAGCTTTGCATCACAGGAATAAATTACACTTTAAAATACATTAACATAGAAAGCAGTTATTTTAGATTGTAATAATATTTCACAATATTTCTGTTTTACTGTATTTTGGATCAAATAAATGGAGCCTTGGTGAGCATAATTCACTTTTTTTTTTTTTAAACATAAAAAATATATAACACTCCAAACGGGATTGTATATATGTCAGTCTAACATGGCATTTCTAAACCACACGATTCTCTTTCACATCTTTCAGGACAGACAGCGAGCGTGTGCTTCACCAGCGTGTGAATGCTGTGCCCTTTAACCTGCTGGGTGTGAACAAGGCGTTTGTGCGTGTGCTCTGTCCCCTGGAGGCCACGGGTCCCAAAATGGAAATCGTCCATGAGAAGTTCCACCAGGCCAGTTATGGCTTCACGGACCTGATCGGTCAATACCTGAGTGGAGAGAAGCCCAAAGGTCAACTGGAAACAGAGGAGATGCTGAAAGTGGGTGCTTCTTTGACCGCAGTGGGCGAGCTCATCCTGGACACGGACCGCCTCCCAAAAATCCGCCCACCCACCGACGGCTCAGAGTACTTCCTGAGCACAGATGATTTTGAAACCCTGCGGCTGGAGCAGGAAGGGCAGGCAGAGGTGTGGAGGGTGCTGGCGTGCATTTGCGCATTGGCAGGTGTGGCCGTGCTGATGTGGGCGGGACGCAGGTACTACCGTCAATTGAAGCTGCGATGGGAGCAGGAGAACATGAGGAGGGAGTTTGAAATGATGGGTGCAGGAGAGCGAGGAGAGGAGGAGAACGGCATGGACGTATCGGAGAATGCGTGCGTGATATGCCTGAGTAACCCACGAGGCTGCGTGCTGCTGGACTGCGGACACGTGTGCTGCTGTTTCCGCTGCTATCAGGCCTTGCCGCAGCCCATCTGTCCCATCTGCAGACAGAACATCAAACGAGTCGTGCCTTTGTACCAAGCCTGAGAGACTGAAAAGAATCCTTTGGTTTCTCTTAAAAAAAAAAAAAAAAAAATAACACTAGCCTATATTCATACAACAGCAATATTCATATACTATGAGATTTACATGAAATCCAATTTATTTCAAAATATATCATGGTCATATATTCAAGGAATGTCATAGTATGTCCAAAAAAATTAGGATAATATTTTTCAGTCATGATGTTGAAAACGTCATGAAAAAAAAAAAAGCTTCCACACTATAATCCTGGCAAAAACTACTGTCGCGGTGCAGATTGATATATTAAAAACTACTGTGGTGGTACCTAATGACAGTATTGGATGGTATACCATAACACATATATTTATATGGAAATATCATGGTATGTGAAGTGTAAATATGTATATAACATACCATCCAATATTGATTGGATCCAATAATAATTTATATACATTATTGGATGGTATTTTATATACACCATTATTAACACTTCACATACCATGATATTTCCATAAAAAAATCCAGGGCACTTCAAAGATAGCATGCAGTGTTCAAAAAACACTTTACTACTTCTTTTTTGTAAGTGAAATCTGTCATGATGTGGAAACTACATTAAATAAAATTACTGACACGACAAGAACAACAACAGCACAAAGACATCTGCTGTTATGAATGTGACAGGAACAAAAAAGGTTTTTCACATTAAGTTAAAAACAACAACATGCAGGCTCTGTATCGTGTTCCTGCTTTAGTGTTTTTGATTAAAAGCTCCAGAGGAAAGCATGTTTGGGTGTGTGTGAAGATACAGTGAACTGGCCAACAAATGTTCAAAGACACTCGTCAGCGGGTGCCAATTACACTGCCATCCTGAACTTCTGCACAGGAGCCAACATCTCACATTTGACCCAGCAGAGACGAACTGGCAAAGTTGTTCTCACTTAGCTTTACAGGTGTTTCTTCAACTACAGGCACGGTTATGTCCAAGGGATTTCAAGCTTTGAAGTTTTGTTGCATCAAAGAGTCACAAGAGTGCCTTGGAAACCTTTTCCAACAAATATTTAAATGACAGTATTGGATGGTATACCATAACACATATATTTATATGGAAATATCATGGTATGTGAAGTGTAAATATTTATATAACATACCATCCAATATTGATTGGATCCAATAATAATTTATATACATTATTGGATGGTATTTTATATACACCATTATTAACACTTCACATACCATGATATTTCCATAACAAAATCCAGGGCACTTCAAAGATAGCATGCAGTGTTCAAAAACACTTTACTGCTTTTTTTTTTGTAAGTGAAATCTGTCATGATGTGGAAACTACATTAAATAAAATTACTGACATGACAAGAACAACAACAGCACAAAGACATCTGCTGCTATGAATGTGACAGGAACAAAAAAGGTCAGAGAGATTTTCACATTAAGTTAAAAAACAACAACATGCAGGCTCTGTATCGTGTTCCTGCTTTAGTGTTTTTGATTAAAAGCTCCAGAGGAAAGCATGTTTGGGTGTGTGTGAAGATACAGTGAACTGGCCAACAAATGTTCAAAGACACTCGTCAGCGGGTGCCAATTACACTGCCATCCTGAACTTCTGCACAGGAGCCAACATCTCACATTTGACCCAGCAGAGACGAACTGGCAAAGTTGTTCTCACTTAGCTTTACAGGTGTTTCTTCAACTACAGGCACTGTTATGTCCAAGGGATTTCAAGCTTTGAAGTTTTGTTGCATCAAAGAGTCACAAGAGTGCCTTGGAAACCTTTTCCAACAAATATTTGATGATTTTCAACATGCCTTTTATGTTTTACACTACCAAAAGACAGTAAAAACACTAATATTATGAAATATTATTACAATTTGAAATAACTGTTTTCTTATTATTCTAAATGCTGAAAATAGTTGTGCTGCTTAGTATTTTTGCGAAACCGTGATACATTGTTTTTTCAGTATTCTATGAGGAATAAAAAAGAACAGCATAATTAATATATTTAGCATTTAGTTTGCAACATATAAATGTGTGTACTGTCACTTTTAATCAATTTAATGCATCCTTACTAAATTAAAGTATTAATTTCTTTAAAAAAAAATTTAAAAAATAAAAAAATCTTACTGACCCCAAACTTTTGTTTTACCCTTTTCCCAGACCCAGGCATTCAAATAATCATAAAAATATTATTGATCTTTTTAATATAGACAAATTAAAACAAGTAAGCAAATTAAACAAAATATGCCATGTAGTTTCACACATTTATAGCTAGCATTTTAAGTATGCGAAATGTGCAAAATAATATCTGGTCATTTTTCAAATAATATTTTCACACTTTAGGCATAAATTGGCAACCTGCTGCTTAATTGTAAATGCTGGACTGATCTTGATTTTTATTCTTTTACTCATCACTCATCTTATTTTAGGCATGTTCTTCACTGACAATGTTGTTGCCTTTGTAATTAAGTATACTAACTTTTGGCAAAAGTTTTGTTAGGGGCAAAATTATTTATTGTGGTGGAAATGACAATTGACAAATCATATTTTTTCCTAATCAGATGCTTGCTGAGCTTTCAACTGAAAAGAAGGCGCACATATCTCACATAGAAACTGCATCTGCACATTTCATCGCCCACCCCTGAAAACTATGCAATTTTTGCTCATTTCTGTTCTCAGTTTTTCATTTGACTCAGGTTTTTGTGATCTGGTGTTTTTTTAATGCTGGATAGAGAGTCAGCAATTACAGCACATGAGTCAGCAGAGACCAGTGTGACCGCAAACACTCTCCCAGAGGACACTTTCACACACAGCAAACTTCTGTGACAGAGCACAAGACCTGAGAGAGGGAAACAAGGACACTAGACTGAAAAAGAAAGAAAGTGATAGATTATTCTGCTCATTAATTTAAGCCTGGTCTGATCATTTCACTAAAATACATTGCTGTAGTGACAAGAAGAACATTATTAAACTTGAAATTACCTGTTGGCTCAAGACAATGGCTCTGATCAAAGAAAATGTTCAATTTCATTTCAGTCCTGAACATTTGTCCAACATTCTGGATTTTTTGCAAAACCTACTTTTGCGAACTAGTCCTATGTTCTTCGCCACTTCAAAACCAAACCAGTGCAGAAAGATTCTCTGGAAAGTGAATATCAATTGAATTTTCAACTCACGTTCACGAAAGGATGCCAAAACTTTCAAAGGAAGTGGGGCAACTTTTACTAAAACACTTTTGAACGGAATGAAATATTAGGCTAAATCTGAGGTCACAGGAAAAAATCATGTAGTTTGGCCTTTTGATGGTGCTGTAACAGGGGGGGGGGGGGGTTGGGTCAATACTTTTTTTCG